CCAGAGTGACAGTAGGCGTTGAAGATAACCGCGATAAGATTTGTCAAAGCAGTTCGACTAATTTTTCGGCAGTTCTTAAATAATTACGCAAGAGTCGATAAGATTCATTCGAGAGTAATTTAGATTTCATGATTATGACTGGTATATAATATATCAATTTGCCACTTCACTTATTGAAATCAATCAATAATATTATTCGTAATATACAATGTTAATGTAAAAATAAGTTATTTTTATTAGCCATAAATTATCCCCCCCCAAGATTTACAGTCACTAAAATAATTAGCAAGCAATATACACGTATACTTTAATAAGAAATAAAAAAACTGGTTATAAATAAACAGCTATAGAAATCTACATCTTAATCTATGTCATATTTAAGTATATACTACCTGGACAAAAGTATCGCCCTGACTTTATTAATTGCTCAAAAGTTTACATAATAATTGAGGCTAAAATTTTATATTTATAGTCTATACTTTGTTGGCCCCAGCCCTTACTTACAATACATGCTTTGATGTTTTTAATTAAGTTCATCAAACCATTGTTAGTGATTGGTCTGTAATACCGTCTCAAGTTTCCATTGAACTGTTTGTGAGGACTAATACTAATGTTAATTCTGACGTACTGTACATTTATCCCTAATTTCGATCAACATTTAGCTAGTTGACACGTGTGTCAGAAAAGTGACAAGCCAATAGTTATTGCAGTAGATAAGCGTTGCTTCAATCAGTATTTCAAAGCAGCGTAGATTTCAGTTAGCTTCGGCGTGTGTTCATAGTGTTCAAGCACTCTAATTACTTTCGGTAAATATTTCTAATAAACAAGTAGTGCTTTATACATTATTAATGATTCGTTCCTTGGTGAATTATCGGTATAGTTGTGAAATCACTAATCCTTAGATCGATTAATTATTCGAGTGGCAAATACGATAATTAATTGCGCATTATTCTTGTTATAAGTGAAATACCAACCGGGAGACTATCACGATGGGAATGTTGATTGTACTCGAGGGCAATTTATGATCCACTCCTCGACACACTCCGTGCGAAGAAGGTAGCTAAATTCCTAGTGCCGACAATTGTCTGCTCTCTCGCAGTTGTTGGAACGATAGTTTTTAATGTGTCTTTCGAGTTCTGACCATAAATGTTCAAATCCGGTGATTGGCTTGGCCAATTAGGTAAATTTTGATCTCATAACATCTTTCTCGCAGTATGAATAATCTCTACTAATCAATGGTAATAATTGAGTTTCAAGTATTTAAATATAATCAAAGCTGTCCGTTTATCCTTCCACTTTACCAAAACTTATCGATAAATAAATAAATAAGATAACCAGTTATGTCGTATACAATATACATGGTAAAAAATACAAGTTGAATTTAGTATACTATAGCAAGACAACAGCTCGACGCTCAAAGGGGAATGATGATGCAATAGCAGCAATATAATATATCATTTTCTTTCGAGAAATAATTATTACTATTGATTTTTGCTTTCTAACCATGTTCCCTTATACTTCTTGCAATGTCTACAAAATGGTCTTTTAACTCTTCCGTTGAACGTGCTGTCAAAAACTTGCATTGAAGCCCTCTACGTGCTATGCTTACATATTGAGATGCAATATCTACCATTTCTCGGAGCGGTCGAGAATTACCTACAAAACGTCGAGCAAGACATTGATTGAGTCATCGCAACTATGATAAAAAACTCTTTTTCCCGCAACTTACGTTCGCACTCTGAAAATTGAATCGTATACAAGTAGACTGGATGTCTAGACGTAAAAAAATTTTAGTGCACGTCTATCAAAGCTGAAACGATGCAAAAACAGTAGTTTGCTAACATAGACTTACTCATTGTCTCTACTAAATTCACATATTTCTTCAAGTTCATTATCGGGTGTGGCGGCATGTCCATCTGACAGAAAGATGATCACATTTTCCCTGTAAAGCAGAGCGGGTTCAGTACCAGTGAAGGTCCACGTACGCAGATTTATCAGTTTTCTCTGTTAGACATGCTTAGACAACAGAAAAAAATTACCTCGCATCTTTTTGATGATTTTTAAGAAGCTCGCCTGCAGCTACAACCGCTTTCGCAAACTGTGTCCCACCAGAAGCATGGTAGTTACAAAGAGTATTAATAAATGCATCTTCGTATGCAACTTTTTGGTTCTCCATAGCTATGTGCACGCTAGTATCAAAGAGTATAAAAGACATTATATCATTTTCCGCATGGGCAACTCTACATCTGGTGTGGATAAATTGCTTTATACATTCATAGACGGCACCAAGCCGATTATCATGTTTCTCGATGATTTTTTCAGATCCAGTTCTATCCTCTGGCCTCATGTCATTATTATCCATCGATCTGGATTTGTCGATAGCAAAAACAATATGATACGATCCATAATGAGTACGGCATCTATGTCTATTTATATGTCCAGCGGGATAGTCGCAGATTGAAAGTTTTTTCTTATCAGGATGAGCCTCCTTAATCTCGCAACGAAAGTGGCACTTGTGATCAGTCTTACAATCGTGTCCTTCAGACTCTTCATGTTGATTCTTCAGGCAGCGCAGACTGCACTGATTATTGTTACACAATTTTTTGCACAAAGTCCAATATTGTTTGTTTCGATCACTTTGTTCACAACATTCGCTCTTCACCTTCACGACGTCTGGATGTTCTAATGGAACTCGTTGGAAGTTTGCCTCAAGCCAAACTTCAATGCGTTCTCCACGGCGATTTATGATTTCGCCGATAAATCTATCGTATTGCTCAACCCATTTCACATCATTAAGCGCAAGTGACCGTTGACAATAGTATTTTTCGAAAAAATCTAGCAGAATTTTGATGGTGTTGATGGATCCTTCCCCACTAAGTACAAGTCCAACATCCGATAGTGGTTCAAATGAACGATTTAACTTCCTGAACTCATCAAACATTGGTATCTCTATATCCTCTATGAACGATCCGGTGTTATGGTCCTACATTTTTAATTACATTTAATTATATAATCGCTAAAATGTTCGACTGTCAAACAATGGTAAAATTACCATAAGAGGTGGCACGTGAATTTGATGACCATTTCGTTCAATAGGTTCATGACCACATGTCATGACACTTGGCAGTGCCTTCTTCACTTCATTTGTGACGCTCCGTATCATACTCTCATTAAGCGATGTCCAGTCTGCTACCTATAAAGGCAAATATTATCAACATGTAATACATTTTCGATGCAAAATTTCTTTTACCCAATGCTTACTGCTAACTTAGCCATAACCACTTTAAGTTTTCTCAAAAAATCATTTGTCGTGTTATATTTCTTAGGCGCTTCAGTATCCAATTTAGTTTTGAGCAAATTAAATGTTTCATAAAACTCTAGAAAAATCCAACTATTAATGATCATATTAGGTATCCATATTAACCGACAGGCAGCAAAACTGTTCATTCACACCTGGATCTTTAAAAACAGGCCAGGGTATAATGCTCATAACGTCACCAAATAATCTTGAGATAAAATTGGTTTCTTTGTCCTAAAGTTTTGAAGTCATTTTCAATCAAATTCAGTTGACAAATCACTACTATATACACTTATACTTACAGTCTCAACAATTAGTTTGATCTTTTGAACAAATTCATCTTGAATTGCTTCCACATCATTTTCTGGCACATCTTTGATGATGATACAGAACAGTGTCTGCATAAAAATGTAGTTAAGCTTCTTTAATCCAACCAAAACTTCAGAATTAATAGATATACATACTTGAAAAATTTCTTTTTCTTCATTTTTGCCACCAAAATAGTTTTCCCCAATTTGGAACCTTTTGAACATATCAGTCGTATTTCGACTGATAGCAAAAGGACATTTGAACAATATCATAGTGGACACACTAAATATTTACAAGTAAATAGTAAGCATAAGTTCAGTTTGCTGAAAAACACATGCTGACATATCTTATACCTTGCATTAAGAAGAGTCAAATGAAGGTCGTCCTGTGGAGTTCTCTCATTTGAGTTAAACTCTATATTAATATTGCACTAAACGTCAAAGCTTGCTTGTGTTGTATTTGACATAGTTCAACAAAATTACCTTCAAAATCCAACGCAACATAAACCGTGTCTTCCACATATGCTATTCAACCAAAAATTTCTTATCAGTTCAAAAATCTAAAAGCTTAAATGTAGCAGTAAAACCTACCTAAAGACAACCATATTCCTTCAGTGCAGCGCTACAACAAAAAAAATGGGTTATAATTCATTGTTATTCATTGCATGCATGGGATAAAAGAATCACTTACCTTAGCAGAGCCATCAAAGCTTGTGCCAATAAAATGGTTTAAGAGATATGATTTGCCACAAGACTGTTCGCCCATACTAGAAACTACCCTCACTGGTTTATCGCGAAGATATTTGAAAATTGCCTCATACCAGTAGAATGAGATTGATTCACTAACTTCTTGTGTACTTGTCCCATTTTCAATTTGAATGGGCTGCGCTGATTGCAAACCATTACGTAAAATAATAAATTTATCTTTTTTAGCCACAGCAATTTGGATTGGTATGAGTGTACATAGTCGAATAATCCAGCTGTTATATATATATATATATATATATTTATATGTAAGATTCAAGTGTTAGAAGGGACAAAAGATGCAATGAACCTAACTCACTTGTCAGCATTGTAGCTCGAAAGTTCCAAGGCATTGTTATGAAACAAAATGTCGCCAAGTTTCTTAACGTGAATGAGGTAATTTGCTAATAGCGAAATATCTTTTTTTGTTGCTTCACGAAGGCGTTTCAAGCTATCTTTCATATATTTGTCAAAATGCTGTTGAAGTTTTTGTAAATCTTTTGGAATAATCTCTGGAAAATTCTCTGAAAAATTATCCGGTAGGTCCATTACTATGGTAAGTTTCATTGAGGTTTTCCCATCCTGTATGCATGGTTCTATAGGATACTTGGTAAAAAGGTGTGAATAGATGTCGATATAACCGTTTGATCTCAGCTGTTCGTTTTTAACTTGCTCCCCAGTTTTTTTGTTAACACTGTATTGACTCTGATCGCTTGTGATATTTACTTTTGCTGAAACTAGTACGTTATGTGCCAAGTCAAGCGTGACTAAATGTTGGATTTGCTCAATATATGTGAATCGACAATGAATTAAAGAATGTGAAGGTAAGGGGATTTCGGTCTGCAATCGTTCGCACTCTTTATCTTGATTTACAAAATATATAAGCGCCTGTACTGTATTTTCATCTGTTTTGGCAGGAACTGCTGGGCCAGCATTAGCTAAGTGGTTGCCTCCTTCAATATTGCTACCTGTCGGATTTGTAGTCTTTGGCTCGAGTACAAATATACAAGAAGAATTTGGTGAGCTTAGGACAGAGGCTGCATCCTTGGAAAATTTTTCAAAATAATTTAAATAGCAATCGTTGTAGTCGAACGTATAAGCTTTTCCGTCTTCTTTAACAAAGAGCATTGAAGATTCACTGATCCACAAGAGGCGCTTAAGTGTTGATAACTGAAATTTCCGTACGAGATTTGAATGTAGCGGACGCATTTTGTGCTCAACATTGTAAATAGTGTAAATATTAAGCTGTAATTATTGTAAATGATCGTTTAAGCATTGATGTGCATAAATATAAATACAATATTAATTCATTTGTTACTCACATCATGTTCATCGTTATTGTACGTTGCCATAAGACCCGTTGAGTAATTTACTGTAATCAGCGAATTCTTGGGCTCGTCCATTAGTCTGATCCGAGACGGCATTGAATTACGTTTGAATTCCTCCTTTAGTTCAGGAAGCGTTCCATAAAAGATAGCATAATCATTTTTTTCGGTGTCCCACAAAATTAGAACGAATTTTCCATTATCCAGTTGGCAAATTTTCCTAAAACAATTTTATCAGTAAAAAATAAGGATTAAAAAGTCGCATACATAGAAATGGCGATATCTTACTTGATTTCAAATCTCGCATTTATATACAAGATTTTTTGATATGCATTCAATAAACTCGTGTTTGTGTAATTGACATTTGCTTTGAGTCTTCTGATATAACTACTTGGCAATTCCAATATTCTTAGTTCACAAAGGGAGGGTTTGGCTACTTCAATGACATACTGAAACTCATATCGCTTAATATTAAAAAATATATTTTTTCGACGTTGCACTTTTTTGACAAACATTTTCTCTCTAAATTGATCAAGTAATAAGTTAGCCCAATGTATGATAGTAGAGAATAATTATAAATATACTTACCCACTACCAATGGGATACATTAATTCAAGTTTTTTTCTTAAATTTTCAGCTTCTACTTTACCAATATGTCTTTTTTTTTTCTATACATGAAAAAATTTCCATCTTTGGTTATGTTTCGAACATGTGGTCTCCAACATTCATCCAGTTTTTTGTTAATATTCTCGTCATTCTTCCAATGTTGATACTCTTTTCGAAGTATTTTAATAACATCTTCGCTTTCACTGTGTACTATATCAGCAATAAAGCTGGCATCTGGTATATTTTCAATCTCTTTTTTTTCTATTCCAGGAAAGTTTAGGAATTGCAACAAATTTCTAATTTAAATAATATTTACACAAACTATGTCAGAAAAGCATGTGTACAGAGTAATGGCAGTTTTTACACAATAATATATATCCAATTCACTAGATAACATAACTTTAGAATAACAATAGTAATAGCTACTTACTTAAATAATGAATTATAATTAGTCTGTTGTTTCCTTTTATATTCATTGTAAATATAAAAATTATACTTCAATGACTTCCATTCCTCGCTATCAATTTGTAAAATATTAGCCTCTATGTCTTTACAAACTTCTGCATGTCCAGCATAAACCTCTTTATTAAATTGATGTATCAAATTAGCAAAGAATTTTAAAAGCTACTCTCCAAAAATTATTATTATAATTACCAGAGCTGTCCTCTATTAAAAATGAGCAGACACTAAGAGGCTTTTTTTCAAATAGTCTAAAAATTAAAACTTTAGAAGTTATATCAAAATTTACTAGGAAGGGTGTAGTCAATCTGCGAGAAAGCAAAGTTTTTGCACAATAATAAACTTTGATGCATACCTTTCATAACTTTCCAGAATTAAAAGAGCCTGTTGATTTACTATTTTTTTGTACTCATCAATTTTTTTATTCCTTTGTTTTCTCAAATCTGATATTTGATTCCTATATTCAACTGAAAGTTCAGGTTTAGCTAAACCCTTTTCAATCAAAAGAACTAGTTCATTTCCACTCAAATCACTTAAACTCAAAGCATAATGTTCTTCATCCAACTTCTTTTTCAAGAACTTTTGGAATTCTAATTCATCAAAAGAGCCAAATTTCATTGTTTCTGACAGAGTTGTGGATTCACTAATGTTTCGCATAATAGCCAAGGATTGTAGAGCATTTGATTCTATGATGAAAGCTTTTGATGGATCTCCATTACATATGGCCAATTCTGGTACCTTGATCTGAAAAGTAACAAGCAAATGGTCAGAACTCAGTAACCAAACGGCATACTAATACTTTAATAATTTTGTTACCTGAAATTTATTTTTTTCAACTAAACCGCCTTTTTCTTGTTGTGGGCCTGTTTTAACTTTATTGTTAACAATCCTGTTTCGACTTGTTGTATTTACGGAAAAGGAAAAATTTCTTAAATCTTCTTCACTCATTAAGCAGATTTGATGATCCGTCAATCGTGTAAGAAATCTTACAAAAACCAACATTAGTGAAAGTTTGTACGTATTGATAACGAAAAAAAAATAAATAATAAATTGATATTTACCGGTGAAGGTTTGTTGCGCTTGTCGATATTTCTTTTTCATCGTAAAACTGCTTTTCCAGCCACAAGATTACAAAACCAAACTTTGTACTGACTCCCACTGTAGTTTTCTGCGACTGCTGGAAATTCATATTCGACTCAATAATTAACAAATAAAGCCCGGTAGCCAATGTTTGTTCGCCTTTAATAAATTTCTCGTATCTGCATAGTGGGAATTATTGTAAGTTATTATCTAAGTTCTTAAACAACAACTTTCAGTCAGTACCTACCTATCTTTGTCGATGACATTGTTTTGAAGCAACAGTTTAGAAATAATTTTACAATTTCCGTAACAACCAACTAGTTGAATATTGACGTCTGCCAATTGTTTAAATTGTATATCAGAGACCGATCGACAACTCCCAGGAGTCAACTTATTACAGACTTTTTCCAGTTTTTCTGGATGAATAATGGCCTTGTTCACTAGAGAATCACTTCGCTCTAGAGATAAAAGAAGGATTAAAAGACTAGATAAATGACTTGTGGCCATATTTCGGCAATATTATTACTTTACGGGCACAATTTTATTTATCTTCCACTAATACTAATACAAGATAAACGACGCACCGGAACTTGTAGTGCTTTTGTCCAAACACAATTCAACAAGTTGATATAAATTCGGAATGGTCTGATGGATATTATTGACTTCCGCAAGTTGAACATTATGGCTTTCGCCATGATTATTATTTGCGGAAACAAATCCGTCGACGCCGTCCGCATCCTGATCATTGATAATTGGCTCGGGACGCTGCAATGGTGTTTTCTGATGACGACGTTTCTGAGAAAATTTTAGTGACGTTTCATTGCCTAAACGGTAGGGTTGTTTCTTAGAAAAGTATGCCTTAGAAAATCTTAGTGACGTTTCATTGTCTAAACGGTAGGGACGTTCATTGTCTAAACGGTAGGGCAGCAGTTAATTATTATCAGTTATTGCATATATAGTATTTATGATAAACGTTGTACAAGAGCTATTAGCGAACTTGCCGTGTCCATTAGCTTCTTCTTCCATGTTTGCAAGTTATGCTAATTATCGACGAGCTTATATACGTAAATCTAGCGGCATTCATTGAAAAATATGGTATGATCTACAGTTATCAAAAATAGCAACGGCTAAGCCATTATACTAATGTCATTCGCTAATCTTTAATTTAAGACTTATGTACTATGCCCAATTGATTTGTCATTCATGAGCCAATAGAAAACTGCGATAATGTCGTGAAACTAATGGCGAACAAAGAAATCGCTTACGGTACGCCTGAAGATAGATTGATATATCCGTATTAAAATATTTTTATACGTCCCAAAGCATAAATTGCAGAATCACTAAAGATATATATCATCTTATTTTGGGCTAACTGCATATGGATGGACGAGATTACAAGAAAACTTGCTCATAAAGCATATCTTTATATACTTACACTGGACAAAGCCCTGAAATTGAATAAGCTAAACATAAAACAATAGATCAGAATTTATGTGGGGCCTCTCCTCGTGTTGGGGTCAAAATATGGCTAAAATTATATTGTGTATTTAGACGTTGATAAACGAATTGGATTCTAAACAAAAGATTGTATCTGTAATATAACGTTCAACATAAGATTTTACAATATACAGTATTACGTTATTATTACTTTTGACACTAACATTCTTTATTAAATGAATAAAATGGCATTACCATCGCAAGGTAAATTACATAGATAGTTGTTATGAAACTTTTTACAATTAGAAAAGAAATTAAATACAATACAACATAGTGATAGTTGAATACTTTTTGTCAAAAAACCCCCCCGAAATTACATTTTTAACATGGGTCCGTATCATTTCACCGACAATCAACTACCAAAAAAGATAATGTTGGTAATTTGTCGGTGATTGTCGGTGATATAATTGTCTCCCCTTTAACATAATTACTGCGAAGACGAAAAAGAAAGCCTTGTTGTTATATTTGTTAATAGAAAATATCAAAGTGACGTTACAATATCGATAAGTTGAAAAATGGTACACGTAAAAGTACGACTGAATAATTTAGTGACAGCAGTTGTTATACATATTCAGCCTTGTCAATCCATTAACTTGGATTAACGAGTGTTTCTTCATAATTTTGAATCTACTATTTATTGTACACAATATATTTGGTTTACACACATTATTGAATTAGCATATTTACTTATTTACCAGCATAACAAAACACGTGAAATTAATTAACACACTAAATGATGTCAACCATAAAATGGTTAATATCCAACTGTCTTTGTTTTAAAATTTAAGTATTTTTACTATGTACAGTCGATTCACCAATTTTAATTGAGCCGCTAAAGTTGTTCTTAATGTTGAATTTTTCTTGCTTAATACACGTACCGATTTTTCAGCAATGCTCGCGACAGTGATCTATTATAATCGAGGCAACGAGATTCAAATTATTAAGGCTGATTATGTACTTGCTAAATAGAACATAATGGTAAGGTATTTTTAATACAATAAATCGAAAACGGTACACGTAAAATATGACTAATAATTTAATGCAACATTATAATGTTGATAGTACTGTATTGGTAAGAGATTAATGATTGAGTCATGAGGTAGTAGAAATTCGTAACGAGATGTAATAAACCAAGAACTTGTACCAAAATTCACTGTGGGGGTATATTTAGTTGCTAGACATTCATTATGTATGTGGCCAGGAAAGATGTACGATGGCATAACCATATCTAACGGATTACAGGAATACACATAAATTCATTGCTACTATCCAATATGACTGGCCAAACGGTAGATGTTTGGGAATCAAGTGCGAGCAAATACAAAGCAATGGAAGAGGGTTGGACACCATGACAGTGAATTGCACAATGTGTACACTTTCTCAACGTGTGGATTCATCGAAGAATAATTTGTAAGTATACTAACTAATTCAGTTGTATTTTACTATTTATTACTTATATGTATTTGCTGACCTAGTCAGTTCCAATATTAATATAACAGAGTGGTGATTGATTCCGTAAACAAATTACCTTTACGGGTACAACTAGACGCGTACGTACGTATCTTCACTTACCATTGTAACCTCGTATTGGCGCCTCATAAGACATCGAAGAGGTAACTTAACCTCTACATGATATTGTCACCTCTGCTTTCAACTGAGTATGGATAACATTCCGCCCAGGTAATGACTCATGTTGGGTAGTGGGAGTCTTGCACCCTCCCAAAAATCAATATCATATCATTCGAATCAACAAACACCGTCAAAAGTTAGTGTCATTTTTGCCAATTAATTGTCGTGCCACATTTTTAAAGCCGAGAAAAAGTCCATATCATTACCGTTGTCGCTACAGCCCCTCATATAGTGTTATTTAATGCAATTGTAACTTATTCAAGCATCTCTAAGCGCAACTTACGTAATTTACATATAAAGCAATTATTGAACACAATTAAATTTTATACAATAACAAGTTTCAAACGTCATAATTCGCGCACAGCATATATTATTGTCATAAATTTGTTGTTATTGTACAAAGGAAATTCTTCGTTTTTTTGTGTGTTTGAGTTCGATCCTGTTTGTCTTATCTTATCAATAGTTTTGAAAGTGACAAGTTCTAATTATGTAATACAATCTTGTTGAAAGTATAAAAGTGATGGAATTTGAGAACAAAAATCTATAAACCGTTCTAATGAAAGTAAAATTTAAACTTTGTCAATTGTTCGTGATAATAGAGAAACTTGACACATTCATCGATTGAATTGAAGCTAAATGAAAAGCATGGTTCATAAATCAACCATTTCTCGAATTTTAAGAGACAATAATAATGTTTGAGTGAGGAGCACGTCAAGGAGAACAAAGGACGTCTGTATATAGTTTTATGCAAACGCGACGACTCGCAATAAGCTAAATCCTTTAGTAATTGGTAAATACGCTAGATTGGAGTGTTCTGCAAACGTAAATCTCAATAGTTTAAGGGTGACCTACTTACCGTACCGTAACTTAGGTTAACAATAATGTTGCATGATTTTAATTATACATTAATGCATGGAGGTCACTTATCTTAGACAATTGTCCAAGTCATGTTGCCGAAGAAATAAACTTTTTCTACCACCAAATACGACTGCAAAATGCAACTGTGAGATCACCAAAGGTAAATCAAATGGCTATATAGTTATTCCTAGTCGCCGAACAACTCAGGTGACACTAGAAGCTTGTTTGAAAAATCATCTATATATAAGCGTTGCGTTTACTTCTTTATTCGTTCCACCTGTTATAACGCAAACGAAAATGCGACAATGATTTTTAATGTTGGGATTCTCTCCTCAAGTCTCAGACAGTCGCAAGACAAATGTTGACCGTGTCGTGTAGTCGAAGATCTTTGTGGTATACACGTACTTGTTGGGAAGAAAGCCCTTTTATTTTTGACAAAACTTCGCGGCCTCAGTAAAGCCTCTATACAAGTCTTTGGTTGGACGAAAACAATACAGAAACAGAGCTCTCACGAGCAACAAAAAAAATGCAAATGAATTCTTTTTGGAATATTTATTGGCTTTGCCCTCGGCCTTTGTCTTCAAGGCAGCGAAAAGTATATGGGCAGCATCTTGTTATATTTCAGTTGAAAGTCACTGCTTGTACATAAAACGTGTATTGAAGTTGTTATTTCTATTACTTCAATGAGATACATAACATCTTTCACAGGTCGAAAAATTCAATTGCAGATCGCGAATTTAAAGCACTATTTTTATACAGCGATTTTCGACCTGTTTTTACTTACAATTGTAAACATAACCTGCATATTGTACTGGGCTTAATTGCTATTATCCAGAATAAGTCTTATTTTTGAAAATGCAATTCAATTATCGGGCGCTGAGTGCAACAGGATCTCAGCTTGGATAGTCACTGAACATTTCGATTTTATAAGGATCTTTATATGGTACAACTTTATTATATACTCTTTGCAATGCTTTTTAAAGATTATTGGAATTGACCTTCAATTTGACTGTAATACCCAAGATATATTCAAATCAACTGTAGGTGAGAGAAGACCAGATTTCATGAGTTAGATGAACTCTACATAATGGAACCAGCAAGCTTGAATACATATTTGCATATACGACAAGAAAATATCTCCAGTGTGTTTCAGCATCAACGTGAACAGATTTTATGTCGTGACGAACGATGGATGGCGCAGCTTCCACGGCATTTCAGAATCAGTCCCGCAATACTATAGCAGTCGTACAAATAATTAGCTCTTCGATTTATTTGGGTAAAAAATAGGCACCTAGGACACGTAGTTAAATTTAGAAGAAACTGGCACCCCAGAAGCCATGTAAGTTTAGTTTTTGGCTACGCTACAATCAATGTGTCTCTAGTGTCTATGTCTCTAATATTATTACATTATTATTACTTATCAATAACGAGTACTTTCTTATACTCTGAACGTATTTTATTTCATTCCTTAGTACCGGCGATAAGAAACCGTTAATCATATCGTTAGGAGTATTCGCCTGGCATTTACGATAAGATATTCGCTTGTTAGCAACGCGTTGAGAATAATACCATCACCACCGAAACTAATTTCATTGCATTGGTGGATAATAGGAAACATATTCGAAGGGCGACGTATTTATCAAGGATTAGCGATCGACTATTGGAGAGTCAAGAATAGGTAAAGTCTGAGTGAAAGATTACTAACTGTTGTTATTTAACTTAGTGAGTAGGAGTAGCCACATCTTCGTTGAAAGGAAGTTAAATCAATCCCAAGTATCGATAGTTATCCGCTCTCCCGTCGGCAATATTTGTGGAAAATGCAACCGTAGACGTTGTTAAAAATAGAACATTTGCATTTCAGAAGGCACCACACCGTAAATTCCAACTAGATTCGGTGTGTTCAGATACTTTTAATTCCTTTATTATTATAAACGAGTAGTTCTTCTACGATAATAATTAGCGTAACCGACAGTGTCAGTCGATCGGACGGTAACATCAACGCAACTGCAGAAATAGCAGCACACGAGTACAGTGCGATGCAGCATCGCTCGACATAATAGTAGAGCAGCGGATATACTGATAACAATAACTTAGATAATTAGTAATCCGCTGCTAAAAATAGCAGCATAGAAATGAGGGGTGTTCACATAGTGTTTCGCAGTATTATTTTGATTCCTTTAAGATTCTGTTATATCATATTTAGTATTAATAACGAGTATATACCATTGATATCCTATTCTTCGAATTAGTCGGTATAGCTGAGAAACCGGATAATCGCCGAGTGGCAAAATTTACGATAACTTAATTGTTTTAGTTGAAACGCGTTTGTTCATATAAATATACTAATATATTAATCCCATGATAAATTAGGATTAGTGTCACTCTACGACGCTGAGGATCGTAAGTGTAAAAAAGGCCTTGAAGTTTGAAAGTCATTAACTGTATCCCAATTGATAGCTATCCGTCGAAGATAGCTAAATTCCTGGTGCCGATTATTATCTGCTCTCCCGTGATACTCGATATAGTTGTGCGCCTCTCTATATAGTTTAGGAATATTCGCCTCTTTGTCTGTGAATATTCTAGCATTACGATTGTTATTCGCTTAAGCTAAGTATAAACCCAACCTATAGGGAGAAAAGTTTCTAATATTCCTCATGGTTTACTAGAAGAGAGTGTTAGGTTTGGCAATGATAATATTCTATATTGGTAAACCTTTTCCGCTCACCTAACTTACTTGCTCACTACAAATTCTACTTTAAATAGAAAGTCACTTACTGTTAATTAGAACACTTTCAATTGAACAGTCAACGATTAGAATTATATTGAGAACTTTCATTTTGTGACTTCTATTCAACAGTTTTTAAATTACCACTAAAGCACAGTAATTGAAAAAATTTCAAATCTATCAAAAATTTATCTGTTCTTTACAATCTCTATAACAATAAACTATAATGTTCACATTCTAATCATGGTGGGTTGATTTTCCCTTATACTCCTTGCAATTTCTACAAAATGGTCTTTTAATTCTTCCGTTGAAAGTGCAGTCAAAAACTTGCATTGAGGCCCTCTAAGTGCTATGTTTGCATATTGAGATGCAATATCTACCATTTCTCGGAGAGGGAGAGAATTACCTACAAAACGTCGAAGAAGGCATTGAGTCATCGCAACTCCACAATAAAAATGCTTTTTTCCCGCGACTTACGTCCACGCTCCGAAAATTGAACTGTATACAGGTAGACTGGATGTCTATAAGGCATAAACGATTTTAGTGCAGTTCTATTAAAGCAAAACCAGTACAGTCTGTTAATATTGTCTTACCCATTGTCTCTATTAAATTCACATATTTCTTCAAGTTCATCATCAGGTGTGATGTCTTCTCCGTCTGACAGAAAGATGATAACATTTTCCCTGAAAAGTAGAGTGGGTTCAGTACCAGTGAAGGTCCACATAGATTCGTCAGTTTTCCCTGTTGTTCGGACAATAAAAAATTTACCTCGCGTCTTTTTGATGTTTTTTAAGAAGCTCGCCTGCAGCTACAATCGCTTTTGCAAACCGTGTTCCGCCAAAAGCATGGTAGTTACAAAGAGTATTAATCAATGCATCGTTGTATACGAATTTTTGGTTCTCCATAGCTACGTGCACATTAGTATCAAAAAGTATGAAAGACATTATATCATTTTCCGCACGGGCAGACCCGTCAACTCCACATCTGGTATCGATAAATTGCTTTATACATTCATAGACGGCACCAAGCCGATTATCATGGTTCTCGATGATTTTTTCAGATCCAGTTCTATCTTCTGGCATTTTGTCATTCTTATCCATCGAGCCGGATTTGTCGATAACGAAAACAATGTGATGAGATCCATAGTGAGAACAATCAAATTGGTGTCCATCATTTGAAATATGTCCCTTCGACAACTGCATATTTGGATCCAGATTATCGTGAAATAATTTTAGTGTGCAATAACTTGCACCTGAAGTATCGGTATTCATGTTCTTATGTATATGATTATTGCATTGATGCAGGCATTTTCCAAATATTTCTTGTTCATCGGCT